CAGCGATGCAAATTGTACCTAAAGAGTACAATTCACTTGCTCAACTGCTACTGCTGCTAAATAATTCACAGCTAACCCTCATTAGGTAATTACCTAACACCTCTTTCTATAGAATCAGACTAATTTTTATATGCCTCCAATCTGCTTTATAAAAACAATGACAAAGCTTTTCTCTATCTTTTTGCAGGATATACCACCAACTTGCATAACAACCCAAAACTAACAAAGAACAGATGACACTACACTTAAAACTCAATTTCATAACTGAAAAATCCTGTAGTCATGTAGACTTAATTTCTAGCTCAATATTTTACACCAAAGACGATTACAGAAAGCTGATTACAGAAAGTTACCAGTGACATGTATTACAGTAAATCACAAGAGGTTTCTTCTCTTCTGTATCGGCCAGTAACAATGACCCACATTAAGATAGCAAACTCAAAATAAATCTGGTAATCTGGTTTCATACAGGTAATTTTATTAATTGCTTTAATATGCAATTAAAGAATTGTTAGTGGGCTGCAGGATTTTATAAGGCAATAATCCTGTTCCCTGGTGCATAGCTTTGTCCCAAAGAGTAAGCTATCCAAAATAAAAAAAAAAGAGCTGGATGACTGCCAAATCAAACAGCACCTTCTTCCCATTTTCAATTACATACAAGTGAGGCAGAGTAACGAGGATATACTGGAAACTTTGACATTTATTTATTGAACATTTTTACTGAGAAGGAATTGCTGGCTTGCTAAACCGGAAACTATATTTTTACTACAGAAACAATCACATAGAAAACCAGGATCCTGCTCCTCAGCATGAAAGAAATGGCTAGAACCAATAAATTGACCCATCTAAGCCAGCAACGTTATTTCATTCAATGCAGCACATATTTCAAAAATCCCCTAACCAAAAATACAGTGCATATTTCAAAAATCCATATGTTATACTATTGTACACAGCACTGTCTTCTGTCACCCAGCCAGGCTGTGTTACAGCTCATCGGCACAATAATCAAGACACAAGAAAACCATGAAAAGAAAAAGGGGCATTTGTAGGGGCAAATTAAAAGATAACCCAAATCGCAGGAAGAAATTGAGACGTTTTTCTCCCCTGTCCAGAGATTCTAGAGACAAAATAACCAAAAGGTGAAATGAGGAAGAACTCGCCATACTGCAGGGTCCTTCTTTATTTTTGGATAGACCCAATTGTTTTAATTCAGTTTTACCACAGAGGAGAAAAATGTAGGGGGAGTAAATGAAGAGGAAAATAGGGAAATGAACATTCTTTGAAGCAACAACATATGGTGACCAGGCATGAGAGATGGAGGTTATAAATCCTTCCTTGATAGAATTACCTAAAGATGAAATTGCAGCTTCAAGGGGCTTGAGCTTTTAAAACCACACCAGAATCTAGCAAATTAACCTGCCTGGTTACAAATTTTGCAATAATCTTCATTTCCAATGCTTCTTTGTAAAGGCTCAGCATAACTGAGAATTTTGGTATTGATACAGATGTGGTCAATAGAAAGCATGAAAACCTCCACTCCACAAATCACTCAAAATATGAATAAAAAGATATGAAAATTAAGAATTAGAACAAAATGCTGCAGCCTGCAGATGGTCACTGCTGTAATATAGAAAGGGAAAAGAGACAGGAGGTACGTCGGTGCTCATTTCTTTCTGAGAAGAAACTTATTTAGGGATACCAAGGGATAGAGGAAAAGCTCTTTAGTGTTCCAGCCACTATGACCCACTGCCCAAGAAAGTGAAGGGTGAGAACCCTGTTGTTTCACATCCATTTCTGACTGGGTTGGTCATACAGTGGTATGTAAGCAAGCTGCCTGTCCTTGGAAAAACCATCCTCCAATGTGACTCTGAAGCAGATACTTCCCCATTTCCAAATCCCAGTCATGGAATGCCACAGGACTAAGCATCAGAATAGTACAGCAGCATGGAAGTAACAGCAACCACCACAGCCACATACTTTACCCCTAAGGAAATACCAGCCAATTCCGAAACATTTCTTAACCGTTAAGCTAAATAAAGACTAACTCTAATTACTAGATCAGTTTACCATAGAGTTGGGTCTTCCCTAGATGACCCATCTCTTCTTTCCTCTACTGAAAAGCGATGCCCTGGATCTTGTCTGTGTGTCCAGCTTTTCCGAGTGAAGAGCAGGCTGCCGGAGCAGTGGCTCTGACTTGGCTGCCCCATGCCCCAAACCCCTACACTGACAGAATGCACAAGTGGGTCAACTCTGACACATAATGCACGTTACAACCCCAACACATCAAATTTGGCTTGCAGACACATTAACAGCTCACCAGCACCCCGAAGCATCGCTCACTGTGCACGTACCACACAGCACACATGCATATCCTTCCACAGGAGATTCCCTGGCAGAAGCCTGGCGGCACTACTTGTTGCTTATCACTAGTGGGTTTTACGTGTCTGTTCAGCTGCCAGCCCTTTTGTCAGCAGTGTGTTCAAGCTGGACTAAGATTATCAGAAGTGATTTTGAGGGATCCTGGCTTTGGGTGCTATTTTCAAGCTGTCCTAAAGATGCTTGAGTTTTAGAAAATGGAGAACAGCCAACCCATAAAAACCAGATAGCTTTTAAGCATTTTATTTTGACACTGAGTGGAAATGTCCGACAATCATTCTGAGAAATATGACCAGTCACTGGGACAAATACAGTAAAGATTTCCCCTTCAAACAACCACAGACAGAAGGAGAGAGGTTATTGGTAAAAAACCCGACATTTTCTCCTACTATTAGGCAGAGCAAACAATGAGCTTTGGAAAGCACAATAATTAAGCACAAACAATCTGTTAGAGGAGAGGTAATAACCTCTGTTATTTGCAAAGACTACAACGATGCTGAATGTTTACAGCAGCACCTCTAAGGAAGGTTTGTTTTGGAAGATGTGTTAGAAAAATAAATGTAAGAGAAGACTACTGAACTGTAATGCTAGATATGTGCTTATGCCTCCCCACTCTCAAAAAGACATTTATTCAGTTTCTTGCTTCTTGATCCCATGTAGCTGAATTCTTTTAAAAACAGTTTTACATAATCTAACATATTTGCCGCGTGGTACAATTGATATTGCCATAGGTGGCACCTCTTCAACGACAACTTTCTGAACACACACCAAGTCAAAACACTTAGCGGGTGGTTTCTTCACACTGCAGTGATGCTGTGGCATCCTGGATAGGACTCGGGGCCTCACCTGGCTCCCAGTGATCACCACAGGCAATAGGATGGAAAGAAACATACTACAAATACCCAGTGGGATGTATAATAGCGGTAGTTTCCAAACTGCTTTCCCCTTTTCTGTTTTAGAGATATTCCAGGGAAGCCCGTGGGCTTGACCTGTAACTCAGTGAAACAAAAGGAAACTCTCCTGCTGACTAGCAAAACCCCTGGAACCAGACCTTACACAAACAGCTGCTGAAGCACTGAAAAAGGCAGCGGCTGTGTTTTGGGAAATCAGACTCCTTAAGTGGTGATGAGGCACTGGATTGAAATTTGTAGTTATTCTTTTTCTTTATGTACTGGTATTAATTTACTTGACTCAAGCAGAAATTGGAAGGGAGCATAAGGAGTCATGAAGTCCAGCTCCTGATAGTCACAGGTAAGCCCTTAGGAGACGTTTACTTCAGGAAGACCCACAGAACCTGCACTGTACTTAGGACAAACCAAAAACCATTCCCATAACCAAAGAGGCAGGTACTTCCTAACATATCATAACAGTAAAAGAGCAAACACTTAAAAAACCTGTTACAGGGCTGTTTCAAAGGATCTGGTTTCACTGAAAAAGATTTCTGAAGGAGTGTGCTACGTAGGCTGACATATATGTACACATGTATAAAATATACGTATCTGCTCTGACATTACTGGACATGCTTCTGAAATATTTTTATATCTAAGGGCAGGGTTAAAAACCAAAGGTAAATAAATACACCAAAATTATATAAAAACACATCACAGAAAATTTCACGGCATTAGATTTTTCTAACGGTTATGAAGACAGACTAAATAAAATCTACATAGCACTGTAGAATTCACATTTGTGGATTTTACATTTGGAAAAATGCCAAACACTGTCCAGTTCCTCAGCTAATGCTGAGCTGGCTGTTGATTCCAGTGGAACTGCATCAGTTTAACTAGGTTGAGAAGCTGACCTCCCTATTCAGAAAATACATTCAGATAAGCTTTTGTGCAAAATTTCATCTACAAATATCTGCTTGATGTTATAAAGAAAAGTGTATCTAGGGACCCTCCTGATAAATAATTCTGTCCAACTGGATGGAGTGTACTCTTTAATGTCTTTGTATAGGGTGAGAAGAGGACACATCTTAAACTAGTGGAACTGCCAGGTGGGAAAACAGGTATGATCTGGGGCATTCAGACCCTCCTTCGGGCTTCCACATACTACTGCTGTTTATATAAATGCAGCTAAGTCATGCTTTGGCTGATCCACTCAACATAAAAGCCTTACTGCTAGTTTTACAATGGTTATTGGATTGAAATAACATGAATAAACATGAAGTTCCATCCTCATTATTAACTCTGCATTCACTGTGGGCAAGACAAGAGGTATAGGTGTGTCATTTTTACTGCATAAATAGTGCTACGTTGGTTCTTATGTTTAACATTCTTCAATATGAAGGAAGGAAAGTAGGACAAATACAACCGAGATTAAAGAGTGACCTTCTTGCAGGATCAGAGCCTTGCCAAATTCCCTTTTTTGTCTGTAAAATCACATGGCCTAACTTAAGAGACAGCAGCTTCTACCTGCGTCTCCCTACAGTCAAAAGACAAATGAATCTTCAATATACTTCAACAACATATGGAGTTAAAAAGTGATGCTAGCTGGCTCTTGCCCGGCTGTGCAGAAAGTACAAACTTTTCCACTTGAATTAAAGTCTGTGCGTGGTGTCAAATGTCAAAGTGTAAAACACATTAAAACTGGGGGGGAAAAAAAAAAAAAGGTACTGCATATACCTGTATAGATGCAAAATCTCCAGAAGCACAAGCTCCAAGAATAGCAGCACCCACCAAAACAGACTCCACTTCTTTGGACAGGACAACAGGTTTGCCTATACAAGAAAAAGCCATGCCTCTGTTAGTAAGAATATAGCAGCACTGCACTAGCGGCACAATAAATAAAGCAAAAAAAGGCAAAGAAAAAAGGAATCAAAAAGGACTTGAAAACCATGTTCACAACTCCATTCAGGGCTACAGCCTACTGCAGATTACTGTAAATCTCTCTGCTATGTGGTTCAGGCTCCAAGAAAAATGCAGACTGTAAATAAAACCATTTCAGCAAAATATTAACGCAGAAGATAAAGCATACAAAGAACAAACCCCCAGACCTTTGACACTGGCTCTTTATCTCAAAGGGCTTGGTATAAACCTGTTACCCACACCCTCCAAACCCACATGCCTATTAAAAATTGACCTCGAGGGGAAAACAGGGTGGTATCCTTTTTGTTTCTTTTGCAACGAACAAAATAAAAAAGATTGTTTGTGTTTGTTTTTAAATATATAGCCAACAAAGCCAGTCTGGTTTTGCTGGAAGACATGAAAATATGACTAGTAAACTTTCACAAGCTAAGTATGAAATAATAAGAGAAAACTTGTCTTCCAAATTGTGCAAGATACTTGAAAACAAGATTAAAACACTGGAAAAACAAACAAACAAACAAAAACTCAATATATATTCTGAAGTAGAATGAAAAATTATTGTTTCATCACCCATGGGTACTATCATTAACATACTTTCCCTCAGTTCACACAGAGTTTTCCAAGACCTGTACTACTAGTGTAAAAACAGCAGGAAAAAGACTAATAAACAAAGAAAAATTGGCCTGCTTACTTAATTCTCCTGAAAAATGTAAAACAATAGCACAACTCTAAATACTTTTCTAGCTGCCCTTTAGATGCTTACCTTCACTAAGCCAAAAGATGTAATATTCCTACACTATTTGGCATGTGTTTAAAATTTCCATTACAGAGATAATTTTATTCAGTGAATGATGATGCAAACCCAGTGGTGGGAGGAAGGCTTCTTTCTGTGACTAGTCTCAATGATATTATGCCCCCAAAAATGCTGCTCCTGAGAGCCAGCTGTAAGATTAGAAGGAGCTGAAACTTGGAGGAAGATCTAAAGGGAGCCATGAACAACAACTACGGAGGAAAAGGCAAACGCACACTTTTCAGAATGAGAAATAAAATTATTAACGTAAGAAACACTTATTGATAAAAAGCAAATTCACCTTGCACCCCAGGCAGCCAGTTACTTTATGCCAGCTTTGCACTGTTCCACTCCTTACAACCATCTTTCAGTGAGTGACATAAAAGCGCCACAGTGGTCTTTACACCATTTCTTCCTACAGTTAGCACAGGCAGAGTAACGGTGAAGGTGGATGCAGCGAGACCTTTTTTTGCTGGCATGACTATTAACAGCCAACAAGCGTTAATTACAGCATCCCTTGAACTTCTCTGGCCAAACAAATCCACCTTAAAAACATTAATGTAGGATCAGCCACCTGAGCTTTCCTCCAAGATGGACCACAGCTCAGGACTTGGGTCAACTTGGAACAGAAAATGTAAAACTCAAGCTTACAGCTACACAGCTGTTTGCCAGGCGTGGAAGCAGTAAGCAATTTTCAGCGTGCTCTAAAATTTACTGCACATTTTCTGCATCATCAGAATGAATACAGAATTCTTACCAGGCAAACAAAAAGATCAAGATACTTTTTAAGTGGCCTGCGAAATTATCTATTGGATGTCTGCATGGCTGAGTCATGGGCATTTGCAGTTAACAATAATATATTCAGATTTTTTTCTTTTCGGGAAAGAATGGGGGATTGATCCTGGAATGTTAGTTATTTTATCTGATAGGCTCTAATGAGTTCAACATAACCAAGAGCATTTCAGTTAGATGAACTCTGACATCCCTTGTCAGTCAATGATTTTACAAATGGGGGAGAACTCCAGACTGCAAAAAGGCCTTTTTGTACTGAATTGTACTTGGCCATTAGTTACAGTCAAAGAACTTCTGATTACATTTTAATCAGAATACCTTTTCACAGAACTTTTATTTTACACATCATGAACTAGCATCCCAACTCTACACGTAGCTGAAATCTATCTAAAACATTTGAGTTATATAAGGAAAGTCATGGACTTGACATCATTTTCCACAAACAGAAAGCATCACTTTGACTACAAAATTTAGTGAATTTTATGGTCAATCAGCATTATGTTTTTTGCTTCTCTGCTTCTGTTTTATCTCAGGTAAGTATATAAAGCATATTTTCATCTTCTTTCCTGCATCAAGGTTATTAAGTGTGGTTTGATGTTAGGGCAAGTCAGATCTCCAGACCAAATGCCCCAGATCTGAGCCCTGAACTTTATTCATGACAGCTCAACTGATCTTAATTTGACATATACCCAAAACACACACTGTTCAAAGTTTCTCTGAAGTCCTTTACACTAAATTTTGTTATTTTTTCCACATTTTTTAAAGCATATTCAACTGACTCACAGGTGTGCTAAGATGTCCAACACACACAGGCTTAAGGGAGACCAAAAATACCACACAAGTCTGAGACCTCCTCCTATAATCAACCACATACCCAGGACCTTCCACCTCGGGAATACTACAAAACCAAATGTAACACCATGCAGGAGCAAGGATCCAGAAATTGTCCCCTAGACCATACTAATGATACAGAAATGGAAGCGATTCAGAAAAAAATTGTTCTGTGTAATGGATACAATGCCCAGCATGAGCAGGAAGGGTCACAAGTCCAACAGAATTCAAACAGGATGAAGCTAATACAGGTTTTAGTAAAACACATCTTATGCAAAAAATGCTCAAAAAATGTAGTGGGCATTGTCCTCATTTAACTAACGCCTTGTAATTTGACTGAATGGAATAATCTCTATAGAACATTTTGAATAATTTTATAAAATCTGATAGTGAGAAGTATCTCTGACATGTAATTTATACTTACTGGTTTTAAAAATTCCATACAAAGTTTTTATATTTATTCTATTGCGCTTTCTTAAAAAACCTGTAAATCTAAGGCCCACAGATAAGTCATTAGGCTGGAGGTTTCTTCTGAAATCTGTTTTCTAACAATACGAAGTATGGAGCTTTGTTTGCACTGCATCTCTGCGTTATTCAAATGTCTTTAAATTTCAGGAAATTCAATCTTGCAGGAAGTAACATTTCATTACAGACTTTTTGGCCAACCAGCAAAATACAGTTCTATATAAAGAAGGTATTTATTTTTCCAAAGACAAAGTTTTTAACCACCTAAAATAAAGTAGTTTACCCTCCATTCCCTGCACTTCCTCTAACTTACCAGTAATGTCAGCATGCATCTGCACGAAGAGAGGGTTCTTGCTCAGCCCACCACACAGAAACAGCGTGTTGATATGATGCCCTGCAGCCTGCATAGTTTCCAAAATATGTCTTGTTCCTAACTTCAGAAGGGAGGAGAAAAAAACCAGAAAACAGATGAGCACAGGAGAGCAGGCACAGGAACAGATCTTAAAGCACAATTTGCTAAACAGAATGATACTAACCCCCTACAAGTAGTAACCTGAGGGCTGGGAGCAGACCTGAAGGGGTACAGCCTCTGCTTAGCTTCCAGCCAGTAACAGGCATTGTAATTAAGAACGAGAAAAATCAAACAAATGGCAACAAAGAATTGGGAAGTACATGGGCACAGCATATTGCAGGAAGCATCCTGGGGCTGGCTGAAGAAGTGCAGATGTACCAGCACACGGCAACCCAGGGAAATGGGGCTTACAGGGAGGTACTGACATTGGTGAAGACAGGGGTTATGAGAAGACCCAGAAATGGGCACGGGGAAAGATTGATGGCAGCGATAAGCAGTTTGTGAGCAAGTGCAGCAGAGTACAAAAAAAATTTCCCGATACAGAACTAAAACCTACATGGCAAAGATATCCCCACCAAATACTTCTACTTTGTGTAACGGCACCTGAAAATCACTCTCAATCAAGAGACTTCGATTGTGAAGCCAAATAGCAAAACAGAACAAAGAGAGGAGCAAATAAAAACCTGTATTTTCTGTCTTTTCAGCAAAAAGGAAAACCTGAAGAATTTCGTATTGGCTTAACTATTTCTCTTGGCCTTTGCCCTATGCAAAATGAAATGTTCCATTTCATGCCTGGATTAATTGAAACATCTAAAATGTAGGCATATTTTTAAACTTTTCATTTACAGTCTCCATTCTGAGAAACTCAAATTAGAATAGCTCAGTGTTCCTCTCTGCAAATGGTGAAAGCAAATGCTTTGCCATTTTAAAAAAAACCTTTTTTTTTTTGTTTGCTTTGCCATTTAAAAAAATCTTTTCTCTTTTTGTTTGCTTTGCTTGCCTCCAACTACTCACTAAAGTCAACCTTCTTCCTCTTTCCTCTTGCAAAAACATTTTCCATTTCTTTGACAAACTCTTTGTCCAAAAATAATTCCCAGCTCTTTATAATACCTTGGAAGTTAATTTTGAAGATCAGACTTGACAAAATGCTGAATTCAAGCTAAAATTTTGCCCAGGCTGACTCTTTGTAGGGAGATTCCCCACAAAACACAAGCCGGCCAAAGTTTCACGAACCGTCATTTAAGTTTTCTTTATGCTGTGCAGCAAGTTCATTAAGAGGTCTGCAGCCTGCAATAAACCCCTCTTCAAGTAAAACCTACTGAAAAATTGAAGCTAGCAGAGTTTCACCAGACTGGAGACGTTCACTGTGAATGACTGGCATCACTCTGGATAGGCCTTCAAATGTATTTTGGTTTTGCAGGCAAGCGGTTATGAGGAACTTTAGCAGCCGCAACACCAGCTGACTAAATCCATCGCTTCCCTATTGACACAGAGGGCTAATTTCCAAATCACACAACCACAATTTTAATTATGGAAAAATAAACTGCTCTAAAAAGAGTCTGTCTCCTCAGAACGGGCTCGACGGCCACAATTATATCTCTGATCATGTTCTCATCCGTCTAACTGTTGCATCGCATTTTGCAGTGAATAGTTAAAAGGATATTCTCTTTCACTACTTCTGAAATTCAAATTTATTAACAACTTCTCTCACAACATACACACGTCAAAGACCCTGAGAAAGAACGTGCTGTGAAAATTATTTTGTGTTTACCTGCCTGGAAAATTGTATTCACATTGCAATTTAAATTAAAGCCAGACTTATTTCACTGTGCGGGGGGGGGGGAACTAATTTAATCCTGGATTGGAGAAAAATGCAAATTGAGGGGCTTCAAATGCAAATTTTCTATAAAGAGAAAAAAGCGTCTCCTGCTGAAAAGAAAACTAGAGATTAACATTCTGTGGGCAGGCCTACACTTTTTACAAGATTTTTATTTAGGTTTAAAGTCTATCTTGCACCCATTGAAGACAACTAATGGTACAGGATTGGGGTTGTCCTGAATGAGAACTGTTTCCTTCAACAAAAGTGAAGCTAAAATTGGGAGCGATGGAGTATGGGAGGAAAATTAAATTTCCTAGGTATCACATTAACAGTTAGTAAATATATCAAGTCACAAACAAGTTTGCTCTGTCTACTTTTTAGTTACTGTTTCAATAGCATTTTAAGAATTTCCTTTAACTTACAGAGAAAACTATGGTATGGCCTTTTTACGTTAAACCTCACGACCAGCGCAAATCACTGTCAAAAAGATAAGCAGATGCTGAATTTAATGTTTAACACAGTATTTGAGTTTTACAGTAAAATTTGAGTTGTATCATATAATGAGATAATAGGTGACTTTCCCAGGATTTCCAGCAGAGAATGTTTCCACTTCGTTAGTACAATATAATAATGGAGCACCTGTTCGATACTGGAAAGTTTCTTTCAGGGGGCCGTATCAGCCGCTGGCATTGTTTAAACTCTCCTATTTCTTATTTAAATAGTGGGATTATACTGAAGCATCAGGTATAACCAAGCTACATTCATCTTAAAAAGGATCAAAACGCACAACAATGAATTCCAGGCTGGGGTTAAGTTCTCGTTATTTGCTGTAGAAGGAGGGTTAACACATATGATGTACAATTCACAGGAGATTTACAGCAGCCGCCCACCCTCTATATCCCAGATGGCTGACCCAGCCTAGCAAAGTTGTTGTTTAACCAGTAGAGGAGTTTGGAAGTTTTCCAACTGAACAGAGTTTTGTCAGGAAAACTCCCCAATTCATCAAACTGTTAATGTTTTGCAAAAACACCTCAACTTCAACAAACTTTTTTTTTTTTTTTTTTTTTTGATTTCAGTCACCAAATGCCTGGGGATAGCACGCCCCATTGAAAATACTCTGCACCAAGGTTTCAAAACAGCTTCTTTGACCCAGGTTTTCACTTCAAAATAGAACTTCTTGTGAACTGGAAATCCTGGGTTCAAGACAAAATTAGGGCAGAAACAAAAGTATTCCAATAAAATGACCCATCTCTGCATGTTAGCAAGCATTGAGGACATTTCATAAAGACAGTCTCCCTCTGTGCTTTTACAAAAACACAGCCACGGGCTGGAAGATCTACACAGGAGGCAACTGCTTGCCTTGCAGTAGGGAAACCGAGGGAGGAATGAGGTCTGGTCTGCAGTGTTATGAACTGACCCACTCCAACTCGCTGTGGTACAGGGTTCTGACTCATCTAACAGGCAAGCAGGGGAAATCCACGGATTTAGGAACAATCTGAAGCTGAGGCATTTTAGGGGAGCACAAGTTCCTCCATACAATTGCCAAAGCTGGCTTTTTCCCCACTCTCAGCTTTCCTCTAGATAGCCCGTGATGTTAACACTGTCCCATACAGTATCAGCCTCTTTCCTCTCATCTGCACTAGAGGCAAAAGCTCCAATTACAGAACTGCCATAAGGAGAAAACTTTTTAGGGGAACATTCTCTCCACAGTCTGTAGACTATCCTATAGTAGGGACTAGTCACCAATGTGGGTAAACAATATCTTGCCCCTTTAAGAAGTCCATTAAGTGAATTCATCTATTATTAGAAATCTGTTTAGCAGAAGGGAATGATCAGTCTGCCACAGAACATGAGACAATTCATTTATTCTTTTATGCACTTAGAATGGCTTACAGCAATGGCTTGAATCGTCGCCAAGTAGATAAGGGCAAGTTCATCCAGACCCCGAGACAATGTTAGTCCAACAACCTGTGCAAAGATCAAAAAGAGAACGTACAAATCCAGCCAAAGTAAAACTCTTATTTTCTATGGTTTCTTGTTGTAACAAGTTTTAAGTGCTAATTCTAAGCCTTACTTTTGTGAGCTGTACACATAATGTTATGTTAAACATGTTATTCCTGATCTGGGGAAGAACTACATAAATTGTTCTTGCCCTTGCAAAGAAATAAAGAACAAACAGCATATTGTATGGGATTAGAGATAGATTAACTCTGACAGTTTTATATTATGACTCAGATACTGCTCGTGAATGTATTTAATATAATAATATGAAAATGATATTACATAAAAATAACTTTTTAAAAGCATTTCTCCCCCTCCCTTCTAAGCACCCTAACACTGAAACACAATCAATAATTAAAGACTATATCTTAACCTCCTTTACTCTGTCATAAATCAATACTGCACTGTAGTTACTCTAGAATAATGTCAGCACAGGCAAGACCTGAACACAGTCATAATTGTGGCAGAAAAAATATGTTGCTATTATCAGTATTTGCATACAGCCATCACACCAAGAAAATTTTGATTCTGCTGCAGCTTGCAATTCTTTCATAAAATAACGCAGGTATTATTATGACTAAAAAATATATTACTTTTTTTTTTAGTGTCTCCCTCGTTTGTGGTTTAAAATGTGTTGGAGTACTTACACCTACCCTTTCCTATCTCAACCTTCAATATAGCAGATTTTGGTGCTGGTGAGTAGCTTGAGATGCTCACTGCAAGGCCAACATGCCATTTTGATGTACGTTTTTATATTAATCACCAGGTATTTTGATATCATCAGATTATACCCCCATGACATCCTTGTGTTAAAGTTCTGCACAATAACATCTTGTTATTGGCTTGTGACCTACCTAGCCAATCTACCACATGAAGTTCATTGAAAAGAAACATCCAGACATTTAGAGCTGGGTGAAAATCTCCCCAGCAGAGGTTCTTTGGTGAGTTTCCAAACGCTGCTCTTTCTGGTTCTGGACTGCAATGCTCTGAAAATTTCTTTGTACACAGCACAATATTTCATTCCCTTTAAGTTCCCAAAAGTAGCCATTTTAAAACCACAAGCCAGAATCAGATCAGGTTTACCTTTGAACAAAGACGTATGAAGCACCATGGTTGCACATTTCCAATCATGAGGGCATCTATGCCCATTTTTAACAAAAAGCAGAGGAGCTTTTCAGTTTCTGTTGAAATTTACTACCCGACAACTCTAATACAGCACATTTATTCATCATTTATCTGTTTAAATGAAGCAATCTCTCCTCAGAATATTTCATTCCATTCCCAGACAGGCATACTCAAATTTGTGTTGAAATTCTTTGCAGCAGATAGGCAAAATTTGGTAGACAGGTGAGTTAACAACAGCAAGCACTGCTAATCACAAAATGTGATTCCTAGGAAAGATACTGGGAGACACATAACACTCCTCGTATTTTTAGAAAATAAATGTGGCTGTAGTGATATCTGAACTATTATGATATCTAGTTTTCTACTGAAACATTAGCACACTTTGAAATGCAGCAAAAACCCCAAATCCTATGGGATAGTTTAAATAGCTAAGGAAGAGTACGCTCAAAATTAAAAAAAAAAAGCTCCTTCCAAGATTTTTTTTTTTTGATTTTTTTTTTTTTTTTTACCCTGTATTGACCTTTTTGCAAAGACAGGCTGTTTCTTACCATGCCCTTTAGTGTCAGATCTGTTAAGGGAGATCTGTTACCATGGAAATCTGGCCAAACATGTAAATCAACAGTGAGGAAACCCACAGGCAAAGATTTCTTAATCAGATCCAGGTGACTGTTCAAGTATGTATATATACTGTGAGCACTAGAAGAAAAACAAGTTGGAAAAAGAGGGGGGGGAGGTTATTCATCAAACATAAAACAGTTGTACTACCATCTAATGCAGAAAACCCATCAAAGGACGGCAAATCCCAAATCTAAAACAAAGGGGGAGAAAGGCAAAACTGAGTGCTTGCCAAGCCCGTGGCACTGCAGAGTGGGGGCAGAGGGGATGTCTGTCCATCCAACAGGCCAGCTGAATTCCTCAGCTTCACAGGACGAGGGGCCACAACAGCAGCTTGTGATTCCTGAGTCTGTACATTGACTCCTCCGGGTCCCTAGATGAGCCAGAACTGTTTGATATTTTGGGGGCTGATGATGCTGACAGAAAGGTGCTGACACTGTGAAAGAGAAAGCTGGAGAAAGGAAAGCTAAGAGAGAGGAATAAGGAAGATTCCAAACAGAAATGAAAATCAAATTCCTTTATGAATGTTTAGAGATTTGTTTGATTAATCAATAGCACTGGACTTAGAGCTTTCCTTTTTTAAACCATAATTATTTCAGTATGTGTTATGATTAAAATGCAGCACTAAGGGTGGAGGAGAGAAAGCAAGTGGCTGCTATTTTAGGGAGGAGCCGAACATGGGCCTAAATATGATTGTATCTAAGATCAGATACTACACCCAACTCCACAACATCCCACAGACTTTTTCCTGGACCAAGAATGATCTTAGGACTGATGGTGAATTCTTCAGTGCTTTGGCTTGCAATGACTCTAGTGACATTCCATTTAAAAAATGTTGCAATTATGCTCAGAATATTTTTTCCAACACTCATACTATCATAAACAGATTCATATATATTTTTCAGCTCCTCAGAAATTTCCAAGTGGGACATTTAATTCTAGACATGTGGGTCAATAATAGCATCTAACCCTAATTACAATTGATTAGTCATTGTCTCATCCACTGTAGACCCAAACAGTGATATTCATTTAGCCTCTACATGTATATTCAATCACACACTAATGAGATCCCTAAGGGAATTTGGCATATGCTTTACTAGTTTGACTTCTGACCTGCTAGCAGCTGTATATTTATACTCTGCATTCAACCATTCAGCTGCATGTTTTTCCAATTATACCTTACCATGTGTACGCTATCAGAGGATATCATTCAAAATGAAGTACACTTGGAAGACATTAAAATAACTAATTCACATCATTATTCACGTACTTTAAAATGTACTTTATGTGTCTTCCTGGACCTGAATTATGATAATTTTGAGGTCACAATCATTTTTCCCCCTTGTTGTAAAAGTGGCCCTGTTTTCTATATCCCTAGAGACTGCACTATGAGCAGTACATGCTAAGGACAAAGTCATTTTATTACCAGTCTAAATCATGGCTTGACTCTTAGGAAGGAAAAGAAAGGAAAGCTTCACTCAACCACAGACCTACCAGACATCCCAGCTTCTATCTGATCTCCATCCTGCTTGATTAGTCTCACAAGGATTAGCCATTCCTGCAGCTCTGACAGAATATAAGGACTGGACAAAGGAGGCTGAAGTTCAGCCAAGTATGCTTAAAGCCCACATAACCGTATAATTTTTTTTCACACCTTTTAGGGTTTTTTTTTCCTCCATATAGATATGGGTTCAAGGCAGTATATTTGGACTGAGTGACTGGCAAAATCCTTCCAACACCTGCCAGTTCCAGTTTCTACCATGTTTGTGTTATACATAGTATTACACCATCAGCTCTCTGGAGCTTTTTCTTTCCAGTTCTATGAGAAGGTATCAGTAGCAGCTGGATGGGACTTGCAGAGTTGAGCACAAGCTACTGCTATTAAAAAGGAACTATGTTGAAAGTGGAGAATAAGAAATTAGTGCAAGTTTGCCCAGGGTTATATTCATATTAGGGACATAACTTCAGAAAGCAACAAGAGGTTGGTATTTAATCTGTTCAGAAATCCTAGAAGATGCCAGCAGGTATCTTTCAGGAAAAAAAAAATAAAAAATCTAGAAAGTTTAGATTTCTAAATCTAAAAAAAAAAGTCTCTAATAGATCTAGAGGGACAGAGAACTGCCAAATATGATTATTTTGTTCTGCTTGGAAGATCCCAGAATTGCTGATAGATAATGTGTGTGTGACTTCACCACTTTTTTTTTTTTTTTTTTTAAATCAGGAGCCATCTCTTTAGATGAGGAAATGGCATTGAGAAGTGAATGAAAAGGAAATTCTGTCCTAAAACAGGAAGGACCAAAGGGCATATAATATTTGCTGTCAAACAGTTAGGAACTGTGATTCTAGGAAACAGAAGAATTAAACTTCAAAGCATAAATTATCATATTAGTTCTTTTTAATTTCCTACTCTAGCCTACCTATACTGGATTTTACCGTATCAGTGATGACTAGAGGTCAGACCTACACAATATATAGACCGAAGACTAAATGTGCTATCTACAAAGCAATTCCTGCCACTCACTGAACTGCATGAAAAAACCCAAGTTTTGTTGCTCACAGAGTATGCCAATTAGTTAAACCAAATGCTAAATTTACAGCTGTCCAGACCATCCTCATGTAATTCAACCCTCCTCACTTCCAGTAAAAGGGAGAAGAGAACATAGGAATAGTACTGGGAGGGTTGCACAAAACTGGTCTTCAGCTCAAGTGGTCAGTAGGGGCTGGTTTCTGGCAAGTCTGTCTAAGCCACTTGTGCCCTAACAAGTTACCACAAATTACTGAAACAGTGATAAACGCAGCTTGCAAACTCCTGCTCCTGGTATAGGGATGGGAACAGAAATCTGCACAGTGAGGCGTCTGAGAGCAGCTGTTCAGCAGGCAGTGCCACTGCTGAACCTGCTGATTAGCAGCGTTAGGAGCCTGGGAGAAAGGAAAGACACGTTTAGGAAGGTAGAAGTAGGTGACAGGCAGCAGCAAGTAAGAGGCACGGATTTGTGACCTCAGATGTTGGTTTTAATCATTCAGACACGCATGCGCTTTTTGGCACTGCAGAACCAGCTTAATTCTTCACAGTGTTACACCTTGCATGGGAAGCAAAGGCAATATGCAACTGCACACCTAAGGATGGAATTCTCATTTTGTTCTCTTTTGATGACCATTTGCAATGGCTGAACAGATATAAATTCCTACACTGACACAGAGAATATACTGAACATTATAAACCAGATTCTCTGAAATATTCTGCTGAGATTTCCAGGCAAATACTTTGTCATCATCATCACCAACAATCCCCCAAGACAAGACGCTATGTTCTTATTAAGTATATGACTTAATGTAAGTAAACATATAATCCAAAGTTTGGGCCAACACTGTTCACTAAAAAAAATGCATCACTCCTGTATAGCTACTGCTACCAGCCCCTATGAATAAGGCTGAAACCTGTGCTCCACATGTAGAAAGAAATGAAGAAATAAGGAGAAAAATTCAGTTTGAAATGCAAAATTTCTGATTTTTGTTTGTTCAGATTAAATTATTTAAATTTAACAGATATTTGAGAAGGACAGGGAGAAAGAGGATAGAGGGAATTAATAAGAGACTTGTTTACTAAATTTATAGCTATCCAAACATTTCATTAGGAGAGTAGTATCTGGAAAGCATTATAAAAATACCATTGAGCAAATTAACTTTACAAAATACCATCCTTTTTATAAAATAACTTAACCCTTTTTTATCAATGCTATCCTCCACAGTTTTACTAACTGCAGGAGACTCAGATCCAAGTTGGGACACCCTACATTTGGATAACATGGAGTTCTATTCCCGATACTCTGTCGTTAGTGTCCTGTGCGTACCACAATCCAAGCTTTTTGCACCATGAAATTAGTTGTGGTCAGTCAGTTCAGTATCAGACCTCGTATAGACAAGCAGGCTACTCTATACTCATTTTTCCAACCCACAAAAACCGGTTTATCCTGGTATTATAGACTAAACTAATTGTTTCATACTTGCACTTCATATTGAGGTACTGGGAAAATGATCTGGAAGCCAAAATTTTGAGAAACCCCCCAGATCATTCCTTATTTCAAACATACACAGATGCATTTATTTCCTGATTTCCTTTTATAAAGAACAACAAAGAGAATTCTAGGAAGCATGAATCTATTTCATATTGAATGGAGTCCAATACTTTTCTGGGAATCGTGGTCAAGTTTTTACAAACAAGTAAGGCATTGAGCACTACAAAGCATGGCAGGGTCATCCAGAGAAGCCAGGTAGCCTTATCCCCCCAGGGAGGACTGAAAATAACTGTATAACTGCATGTGCTTAATACATCTATCAGGACGAAACCTCTCCTTTTAGACCAGAGTGATAAACTGAATATAAAATGCCAAGTTTTCTGGTTTCTTTTCTTTAATCTAAAGAGGAAAAAGAAATTAAAAAAAGAGAATCAAATTTTCATCCAGTGTGCCTAACTGTTCAAGCTAAGATCTCTCTGGGAGTGACATGAACCATCTTAAAAGGAATCTAAGCCAGAATAGCTTGAGAAAGTCCAGATCTGGCAGAAGTGTCTGGACTGTCTTCATCCACTTCTAAAGCAGACCAAACTAAAATTCCACATCGCACACAGCCTCCTGCTCAAGGAATCTTGGAGTTACATCCAATTCACTCCTACATCTTGAGTTTTGTCTGAAAAGTCATCCTGGGTTTCTCTGCTCTATTTGTGCTGCCATGCAAAAAGTTTTTATACCGTGGCTATACCTTCCTTTAGATGACTGTTCCAATAATATTGAATAATATATTCCTAATTAAGCTATATCTCATCCTTGGAGCTTAATAGTGTCATCTACAAATTAAGACACATCATTAGCCCAAGGCATAAAGGTCTGCTGAACAGGGCTGACGCTACAGTATCAAGAAATACACTGGGCAGGATATAAAAGAACTTGAAAAGCAGAAAGTTAATATCACCACTTGGATACGCTGACGGTATGTGAGGGGAGTTTAAAGCTTTCATCTTTGATCAATCTCCTGGCAAGCCTTTGTAAATACTTCCAACCCACTATCAGACTGTTAATTCCCCTGTTTCAGAATGAGGATACAGCAGCACACTGCTGGGAATACAGCGTATCATCAATTTGTAAGGCAGGTATGCGATAAAGGAATAAGAACAGTGACCTGGCTGCAGCTTTTGATTGTAATTCTGGGAAGGCGACATGGTCTCGGATCACATGATCTATCTGAAAAAGAGGAAAGTAACATTTTTGGGACCATACATCTTAAAAATTCAGTCCTGGAAAAGGGTAATGCAGTGTCATAACTTTCAAAAGACAAGAGAGCTTCTAAATTACTCATGAGGTGTTAAGTCCTAGGGCTAGTGAAGCCAATGGCAAAACTCCCACTGACACTACTGGATTCAGGATTTGGCTTAAAAACAGTAACAAAAAACAACCACCACTGCACCAAAAATAGGCAAAATGCTAAGCATGCAACCCTCAGTCAGAAGAGCAAGCTGAAAGGATGACTTTTTTCCTGTCCAGCACTACCTGAGAGCATGTCCTCTAGTCTCTCCCCCTCTCTTGCATGCATACCCTCACTGGAATTCTACCAGGAACATCATCTTGGCCCAAACCCTTCTACAACACACTGTTACAATAAAACACCAGGTGTGTTGTCATCCTGACAGATGCTCCATATGTTCACTGCAGGAAACAAAATGTATAACCTGAAAAGCAATTATTGCTATAAAAAGAGATCAATATAGGCTCTGTCTTATACTAAATTTATAAATCAGCTTGTCCTTTCACTCCAGACCGGTTATCATTATTCACAAAACAAAGTATCAGATGAGTAACATGGTCTTTTAAAGCAATAATTCATCAGGTTTTGTGATCTCTTGATAATATCCCATGAAAGGTGACGGTAAAAGCTAAGGAGGCAAAACTAGAACTACTCAAGGGCACCAAATATATTTGGTAATACCTACTGGCAGCAAACCACACTGGGTGTTTATTTTTTAACAGAATGAGTCTAGTCCTTAACCAGTGTAGCAAAACATATAACAAAGCATCCACCTCTGATCATAGCAATAAAAATAATGCATGCCTGTTCTTTCCAAGATTTGCATCAAAGACAAAAGCTCAAACGTGCATGCATTAGAAACCAAGCTCAGGCCTGAATTTTGCAATCTTGCGTAATCTCTTTAGAACATAGGAGCAGCTCATAAATTCAGAAGGAAAAGTATAAATAAGTATCACATATGTGTGTGTTAAGAAAACACTTTACACAAAAATGTTACAGAAATTATAAAGTTAGAGATTTAAATGCCCTTAATTCAAGACATGGCCACATGAGAGTTGCAACTAGAAACCCTGTTCTGCTATTCTTTATTTTACAGTTTGTAATGATGTCATGCCATCCTTTGTCTCTGTTGTGCAATATCTTTCTTCCTATAAATTTTGAAAATCCAGTGTAAAAGCCCATCTAATACACAAACAAACAAGCTTTTCCAAAATAAGCAGAGTTCTTAATTGGACTCTGTCTGAACCAGTTTTCAAAATCCAACAGACTTTTTTCGCAGCTGTATCAATAAATAATTAATTAGAGATTTTTAAAGGGAAGTGTATCAGTTTCACTTTCAAGGAGTTCAACAGACTGTTCAAATTTCATGAAAAGAATTCACCTTTGGGCATAGATCAAGCAATGAAAAGAATCCCAAAACATGTCAATTTTATTTTTTTTTTATTTTAGAAAGCTTGAAGTATGAGAAAGCAGGATCTTAAAAAGACTACAGCTTTAGAATTACAAAGATAACGAATGCAACCTATCCTCCACACAGTGCACATACACTGTTTCTTCCTATGGCTCCCTGTGTGTTTTCTGTACATACAACCTCAAGAAAACCACATGAGATATTCTAAGAATGCTTTAAGAAGACAGCTTCCCTAATATACCTAAAAGTACTTAGAGCTGACTTTTGCTATGGGCCCTAACAAGACCATACATTTTTTCCAGCAATTTCTTTAATGACTCAGGAATGTCTTGTTCTCTGCTACTAGAATGGAAAGGGGTTTTAAAATCACCTTTCTGAAATGCCCTAACTCTTATGGTACATTTTAAATGTGGAACCACCCTGAGCCAGCCAAGAAAATACACCGACTTGCCGTAACCTCTCTAGAGCTTAGTTAAGTGTCTTTACATGCTTTGGATTAAGCACATAGAGATTTCTCTCAAAAGAATTCTTACACAGAAACACGCGAAATTTGCCATTTTCCTTTTAAAGTGGTGGTGTTACAAGCAGATAATTTAATTTTACTTCTGGTTGTAGCAGCTACGTATAAAATGGGACTGGTTGGTTCTAGCCCCATCTTGACTTGCAAAATTTAAAGCACACACATCCCACCTGCTGCGAGAGCCCTCTAGGGATGGGTTGGGAATAGGATGGGAAGCAGAGGTGGCAGGAGAGGAAGAGGGATGACTCTTCCATGAATCCATGACACTATACAGAGAGGAATGTCAGATTCACGTGGCCAAGGAGAGAGCACAGGAGGGAACACCAATTCATGGCTCAGCACTTAGGGTGTGTCTGGGCTTCCTGATCCAGGATTATTTCTGTTTCTCATTCAGTGACTGTTCCATATGGAATGTATAAATGCAGTGATGCCCCAATCTACTACTTCCTGGACAGGTACTCTGATCACCAGGCTTTAAAAAAGATGGGTGGTGCTAGGTCTGAGTAAGAGCACAATTACACCTGCAATTTGTGAAAGACTGAACCCACCTGTATGTTTGGTGAGCTTACAGAGGATCCCACAGGACTGGGCCCACCTCATGTAGTTTCTCCAGAGGAGCTTGGCACCTCACCCCAAAGGGCACTCAGTATTTCTACAGACTGAGCAGGGAGACACACAGGGAGCTTTAGAAGCTTCCAGGGTTAAGCAGCCACTAATGTCTTGCTGACACTTTTGGACTCTAAGCCTCAATACTGTTTTATACATCTAGTCTTTTTTTAAATTGGACATCAGTGTTTAGAGTTCTGACTGCTTCCCTTCAAATAAGGAAATTAATATTTAGAGAATCCAGTCTGGTTTTGATTTTTCTTGATAAATTAAATTAACCTAATGTAGTTAGACTTTCTGCACTCAAGGAAAGAATTGAGGTGACAATATACACAGTATCTATCTAGACAGGATAACATGCTAATATATTAATATTCTGTCCATACAGTATATCTTTCATTTATGCCCATCAATGAGCACAACTGTTCTATATCTCAGTCTGTCTTGGCCTCCTGATAAGGAATGAATGCCTATTTGCCTGTAAAATAATAACAATAATTATCACCATCATTATAAAAGGAAGACATGCCCTTAGTGCTCTGCCCCATATATAATCCCCCATCCCCTTACTATTGTAAGTGACATCAACTAACAGTTTATAGCAGTGTGGTATCTCCCATGATCTTACAGAGGTGTTTCAGACAGAGCTCTGCCTGAATCGACAGTGAAGGTATCCTGAGTGATAGCAGTTATGGCAGACCTCCCATCTTGGAGTCTGTTTGTCTCTCCAAACACTTACCAGTCTTCCTGTAGCACTTTGACCTCCCTCATTCAACCACAATCCAGGTACCATTGCAGAGAAATAAGGTCCCCAAACACCAGGCACAAAAAGGGGTGTTTCACTGATCTGGAAAGGCAAGAGACAGCTCTAATGAATCAAACTACTCGTCAACGTAGCTATTTCACAATTAATGTTTAGCAGCTATTGGAGTCCAACAGTGAAAACGATTCCTGCTCCTCCATTGGAATCACCAACATGAGTGGAGATAGACAGGTACAGATTTACTCTAAGGAGAATGTGGAGAAATGTGTTCCCCATTTGCATCATTTTTAGGTGACATGCCACAGCTGCAGCTACTGATTGCACAACTGCTCCACTCACTCCCATTTATAGAGCAGCTCTGTCTAGCTACGCAGAAAGTGAGAAATTTCAGGAACAGAAGCAAGGAGATAGAAACTGCCTTGTTGCTCCAGAAAAACACTGTACTGAGAATGGACAGTTGGATACAACACTCTGCTTGCCTGTCAACAGAAAAAGCTAATGTAATCAGCAACCAGCGTTTACAGAGCGCTCATCCTGTGTGTTTTCAGAGTTAATAATCGAGAGGGAATCCTGCTGACAGTGAGATCCCCTGAGATTTGATGTCAGCTCCCAAGGCTTGCAGTGGATCCCCCAAGCTCCAGCGTTCTCTCAGCACTTCCAGGAATTAGGTGCCTTGGGTGGGAGCTGCAAGCCTGGGCTGGGAGAAAGGGGATTTGCTTGTGTTAGCAAACAGGAAATATTTGGCTGGGTAAACATTGTATTCTGCCCCTTACTTAGGCTTAGCTTTACAGAAACCACTCCTTCCTTCACACCTGTGAACCCTTTCATGATGGCAGATATCTAAGCATTATCTCCCAGAAACTGAACAGGAGTGTGTTCTACCACTTGCACACAAACATACCACCCACACACAGAGCGACATCCTGCTCCTATGCAATATTATAGTGGTTAGACCACTCAGGATGTGGGAGACACTGCTTCACTTCCTTTCGCTGCTTCAGAAGATGCAAATTAGCAGTTTATAAGGGTGGAGGGCATTTTCCTTCCTCTTATAAAACTGTTCCACTTTCAATAGACTAGATAGACTTTCTAGAGTTTCCTTCTGGCTCAGAGAGCAAGCCCAAGGAGGTACAGCATCTAGTCTAGCGAGCAAGGCACAGCATATGACAGGGAGTGGGGCAGGTGAACGTGAGTCCTGGTACTTGCTATTAAGACTCGTTATGTATTCTGCACTGGTTGAACACCTATAATTCTTGCAGTGGGGGCTGGAGAACACAGGTCATCCGTCCCCTGGCAGGCTATCTGCTTCTCTTGGAAGCATGATTCATGTTTTCTCTTTCAGGAGCAGCGGAGGTATATACTTTGAGGTATATGCAGCCACGATTTCACTGGGAAAAGAGAACATCAGTGCAGTCCTACACCCTCACATAATGCATGTATGTACTTCCCACTAGTTCTTGTTAATGGGATGGCTAAATCTGCAACTGTTGTTCTCTAGAAGATGGGAAGCACTCCAAGAGGGGGAAACAAGAGAATTCTCTAACAAAATAAGTCTGTATGTCTGCAATGCTGGAACAACAAAAAAGAGAGGTCTTAGTCAATGGGATGATGGGTTTTATATTTAGACCTTGTTCTTCATTAGCAAAATTCTAGGCCCATTGAAGGATTCGTAAGGTTTGCTATTGATTTCAATAAGGCCTGGACTTCATGTCAAAATACTTTCGAGGAGGAGTAATTAAAAATTCAGGCCTGTTCCTATTAAACTTGGTACACATTCTCCCTATATTTAAACAGGCCAAACTTTAAAGGCAGTTTTTGCTAGCAACTAGGGAATATGCTCCAAGATGCAGTTTACTGGCATTTGTGCAGCACACATGTTTAGTAAATACACCAGCAGGGAGGTTTCTGCAGAAACAATAGTCTGCTCAAGCCATAAACTTTACATTACAGCTGATTCTTGTCATGAAGTAGGAAAACAAACCAAGAAAAACTAGTTTTTCAAAATGCATCCCTCCAGTGTCAAGCAATCCTGATTTCTCTTAGGGACGCATCTAAGGAATACGAGAATCTTGCTCAGTTCTCCACTCTCAGCTCTAATGCACTGACTTACTTTAGCTAAAGATGTATGCGTGCACATGTGTCTGTGTGCCTGCGTAAGATTTTGGCTGGCTAAACCCATTAAAGAGCAAGAATAGCTGCACTGAATTTAAAAAGGCATTTATGACTCCAAGTGGATGAAGCTACGTCAAAACCATTGCAAAGACATTTGGTTTTGTTTTGTTTTCTCTTAAAACTACAAATTAATACAGCTTTGAGTTTTCAACACCTCTATGGGGCAAGCCTTCTTTTACAATTTCAGTAACGAAATGAAGGGCAACAGAAAGCAATTCCTAAAATAACCTGCTTTTTAGACCAATTCCACATCACTGACCTTACTTAGAACACAGCAGAAAGTCAAAACTCCCAGCTAGTATCTGCTCCGAACTAGCGATGGAAGCGTGCTGGAACCCAAAGGTCCCGTCTCACTCCCATCCCACAGCTGTGGACACAACACGTGTCTCTACAGGTGGAAAGGAACATTCAGGGCAGGAGGCGGCCTGGGTTTTTGAAGTCTCATCTCAAAATATTTTTGACGCAGCAAACTTTGAAGTAGTCTGTACCGTGATTTCTGAAGGAAGAATCTAGCTACACCAGAGGCATCAAGCTTAAAATCCAACTGCTGTGTAGTCTGAAGAAACCAAATAGTCTAAGGCTATTAAAGGCACAAAGATGCACAAAATCAGGGGAAGTTCTAAACATCTAGAAGGACAATATTTTAAAATAGTTTAAAGTAGTTTAAACAACAGTTTCAAAAACCCCCTAAACCCAAACCCCAAACCTTTCTTCTATCATTAGTCCACAGTTTACCAAATTATGCTAGAAGTCTGATAACACTAAGAGTTTTAGATTGATTAAAAGACCAAACTCTCCCTGGAGTCAGTACTTCTGGCCTGGTATTCTGGACATCCACAGGAATTTACCAGGACAGGATATTTCCATGCTGGCTCTTCTCAAAATACACTGAGACTTTCCTATCATCTTACAACTGAAGTACCGTTTGTACACATTCCAGCAAACTTTCAACACATAAACAGAGCAAACGAGGCAGTTGCGTATCGCCACACTGATGAACACAGCCAGTGTGGTACTAGGTTAGCATTTTTTCTACTGTGGGAACTTTTAACTGGAATAAAGAACACTGGCTATCATGCTGGGCTTTACTGATACTGCACATGGCATCATCAGATTTCCTGTTTCCTCCTTCCACTTAAAGAGCTGAAGTCACATTTTGCAGTCTTTGGGTTTTGATGCATGTGGAAAAGCGAGAACACTGGGAAATAACATACTCCCCCAAATAGACACGCAGTCTTTGAGAAGCAATTCTTCTGTAGATATATGCATAAGAAATAGCAAATGGTTTCCATTTCTCCTCCTCGAAATATTTGGATGATGCTTAAGTTTTTCAAGCCATGCAGCAGCTGGCATTTGTATTTTCGTAAGAAAAAGTCCAAATTCTGTTTGAGTATACATACCAACCAACCCCACTAAAACACATGACTAGACATAAGCGTAAGGTTGGAGAAATAGTGCAAAGTTTGCTGCCGAACCCAGAAGATAAGCACAATTTGCCAGAGTCAGAGCTATTTTTGTTACACTAAATACCATGTCCTTTTCATAGCTTTCTATTGCCTTCAGACATTCTTATGATGATATAGGAGGATCAATGTGGTGTCATTATTTTTTTTTCCTTTAATGAGCTTAAGAAAATCCTTAATCTTTTTAATAGAAAAACAACATCTGTTTTACATTTATGGGCAACTGATTTTTATTTTTAAAGCAAATAAGAGATGTCATCCTTTGAAAGTTAAAATATGGATTCAAAGGGAGCCTTGGATTTTCTGCCTTTTATTTAACTTAAATTCATCCTGTGACACACTCCTATTGTGAGCCATATGAACATTATTTTTTTTTTTACATATAGTGAAACTGAAACACAGAGAGGATATCCTCTGCTAGACATTACAATGATCTCTGCAAAACAATTATTGCAGCAGGAATATGAAGATGGGAAATGAGAGAATCTAAACCTATTCACGCTTTGAGTCATAAGCAGCATCTATAAATATTTCAGTTGCACATATTCACACAGAGACTATTGCCCTCATCTATGGTGATGCTTACTTACAGTAGTAGTATGCTCGGATAAGAAATTCCACCTCACAGCTGTTCCATCTGTGGATGGGAAAGAAACCTTCTGTGCAGGAAAATGCCACCTTTCCATGTCTCCCTAGCACACACATTCCTGCTTGCTCAGCCCATCATTTCAGATGAGATGAGTGTTAAGCAGTTCCAAGATTCCTGCTCATTTGAAGGGGAATAAAAAGAGTTCAACACCTTCTGAAATGGAGAAGAAGGGGGGAAAAAGTGCTGTCTGGGAGGATTTAACCTGTGTGCTTTATAATAGACCATGCTAAAATGTAAGATATGTAAACATTATAGAGCAATCAGAAACAAATGAAATTATGAATTCAGTTTAACAATATTCAGCTGTGGTGCAACTGCCAGAAGGCACTTTTTGTTATGAATAGATCATTTGGATGAGTTACAGACCAGATTTCAACCCTGGCGTGTGCTAGGGAAATCAATGTCAAACTATCCAAGATCAGAAGGTATCAGCAGTACATCTGGCAGCCAACAGAAATGAAAAATGTCTTTAAAATATATAATGCTATATAGAACTAAGCTAAAGTATGAAAAGACCTGCTTAAATGGCACTAATATGAGATCTGTAGTGCATTTAGTTTAGTTTAGCCCTTCCCACTTGCCTTTCCCTCTAAAACAAAAACAGGCAAAAAAAAAAAATCCCCCCCTATTGTAAAAGTCTACATGGAAAAAAGCACTACTTACCACTTACAGGCTAACTTACAGCTCATGTTAGAGAATCAGAGGAGTCAGTGCCTTTAATCCAAAGTAAGTTCAGCTTTCAGGACTGTCATTTGGTACAAGGAGTGAAACAGAACACAGACCTTCACAGACAAGAATCA